TGACTGGTAGCGTTGTTTGAAATTGGTTAGGGACTAACTTTGCAAGCGTTTACTATAACTAGCTAAACAATTTTTGGTATATGAGTTTCCTCTGCTTTGATACGTCATTCCTTCGCTTCACTCATTTCCCCTGGCGACCTGTTCGCTTCTTTCCGATTTCAGTTGGCATGGTGAAGCAACCGACGTCAGAGCAATCGGAGTTCACGATGTCAAACGAGGACTTCCCTGCGTTACCGGGCACCCAGAACTCGGACGGCACAACGAACGCGGTGGGGAGTGGTGGCGGAGCAGGAGGCTCCGGCGGTGCCTCCACAGAGAACCACTTGGACGGCACGGAAAAGCCGATGAACTCGATTGTGGTCAGCGGATCAGGGAGCGGTAGCAGCGGCACCAACGTCGGCGTTGTAGGCGGCAATGGTCTCGGTGCCGTGGGCAGTGGCCTAGGTGGCGTGGTAGTAGGCGGCGGTGGAGGAGCCGGTAGCTCAGGAGGCGGTGGAGTCGGCGGCAATGCAGCCAGCGGAGTTGTCGGCGGATCGCACGTGGGATTGGTGGGCAGCAGCAGCGGCGGCATTGGCGGCGTCAACAGTGTACCCAACAGCAATGCCATGATGGGCGTGGGCGGCGGCTTGGGCAGCGGAAGCGGCACCTCCGGCAGCGGATCGGGCGGCGAGCATCTGAACGATAATTCCAGCAACGATAAACTTGTGAAGAGCGGCGTGCAAACTTCGCCAGATGGTAAGTGTACTAATAAGTTGAACTAATGGCGCGTTAATGAAACAACTTTTAGGATTAAGCGTTTACCACGGATAAGCAGAAATATAAGACGATTTATTTACGAAATTACGTGTTTACCTTCAATAGTTTTATTAACAAATGTATCCTTTTGTTTGTATTATTAGGCAAGGTCACAAACATCCCAGCGAGCATGGTGAACAACCAGTTCGGCATGGTTGGCCTGCTGACGTTCATTCGAGCTGCAGAAACGGATCCCAACCTGGTGACGCTCTCCTTGGGCACGGATCTCACGGGTTTGGGCCTGAATCTAAACTCGCAGGAGAGCTTGCATACAACATTCGCTGGCCCGTTCGTCGCACAGCCCTGCAGGTGAGTTTATTGCCTAATTAAGCGATTGTGTACAGTTAACATTTAAAAATAAAATCGTTTTTTTTTATTGTCATATCGTTTTGGTGATTATTTTAGAAGTTACACGCAAATATTAAATGTCGTTGTAGAGTGCTTGAAAGTACAAGTACAAACTCTAAACGCGTTTTTCTTAAAATGGGGTTTTAAACTCGGTGACCAACATAACTCAAAAACGGCTAAACTGATTAGTCTCAAATTTTAACAAGAGCTTTTAAATTATATTTTTTTATTTAAATTAAATTAATTAAAGATTTTTCCTCACCGATAAATATTTTTGTACATAAACAATTTAAATCCGAATTCAAAAATCCTTTGATTAGCTAATAGATTTAACATAGCTTAAACGAAATCTGTTTGTTTTTTTTTTATTTCGGAGATTCCAGTTCAGAGATGTAGTGGTCCCCACATGTGTGAAGCTGCCGGAGATCAGCCTTAGCTCCTTTCCAAATAAATATTTTAACTAGTACTAAGTCTTAAAAAACAGTTAACAGATACCATTATATGTGAAGAAATTTTCCAATCAATAAATTTAAAAGATTTCTCGGAAAAAATTCTGTAAATTTCGCTTTTTTTGGCCTATAAACTGTAAAAACCCCTTTAGAGACAATTATTGCAAAGAAACAAAAACGAAATAAACCTGGTTTAGTGAATTTTATTTTTAAATTTGTTTATGTATAGACAGTAGAGACAATTAGATTTAATAATACTCGCTCTATTATAATTACTAACTTTGGATAATATTTTATTAACGCAGAGCACAAGACGTTGAGTTCAACGTGCCACCCGAATATCTGATTAACTTTGCGATAAGAGACAAACTCACTGCGCCGGTACTGAAAAAGCTGCAAGAAGACCTGCTCTTCTTCCTTTTCTACACGAACATCGGCGATATGATGCAATTAATGGCCGCTGCTGAGTTGTAAGTACTTCCGACACGATCTTAACTATATGTGTATATTCACACGTTGATTTTTTCGAATCGCAGGCATAGTCGCGAGTGGCGGTATCATGTGGAGGAGAAAATATGGATAACTCGAATTCCTGGCATTGATCAATATGAAAAAAATGGTACAAAAGAGCGCGGCACCTTCTACTACTTTGATGCGCAAAGTTGGAAACGTTTGTCCAAGGTTTTCCAAATAGATGCCGAGAAATTAGATAAATGTCCCAATATAAGTGCGTTTATGAATGGACAGTCTGTATAAAATTAATAAAAATGAAAAAAATTGAAAAAGAACATTTAATACCTTTTTTACCTTACACCATTAGAAAATCTAATTGGAATCTAGTTGTTATCTGTACCTACCAGTTATGGATGTGTTTTGTGCCAGTTTCAGTAATCTATGGATGAGTTGTACCTACATTTGGATATAGCAATATAAAGATCATAGCAATGTTTCTGTAAAGACTGCACCTGATTTCTGAGGAGCTGGATATCGTGATTCCTGTGTTTCCTATTGGCTATCAAAGTCGGGCTTTCAGATTCTGTAAAAAACAAAGACTTTCAAAGATCTTTAACCCCAGACATGCAACGCTTACTAAATCAAGAAGCTCTTTCTTATCTACGAGCAAATTCTTCGGAAGGCATGTGATTTTCGCGAATTCCCAAGTTTTTATCAGACCATCATGTACATATGTTGTTTTTATTGAAAAGCAAATTGTTTCTTGTTTCTTGTACATGTCTATACATACATATGTTGTTTTTATTGAATAGCAAATTGTTTCTTGTTTATATAAAATAAAGTACGCTTTCGGAAGATTACATAGTCAAAGCATAGACGCTACAAATTTATTTTTGAAGTGTATAACCGATTAGTTCAAATTAAAAAGCTTTTGCAATTCGTAAACGTTGTGCTGATGAAATGCTTCGTGTAATTTGCAGAAAATCACATGAGCATTAGTGCGACATGCATTTATTTCTTGTTGATTTAGACGATCGAAGATATTGTGCCCGTTGGCCAAGAAGAAATTGAGTCTGCCATTATCAAGACGTTCCACCAATTTGCCCCACATATACTCCAAAAGACGGCCCTCGTCGCGCATCCAGTTAACATTCGACACTTCTTGGAGGATCACCGATTTCAGCATATAGCTGGATAGGTGCGGCAAAGCTTTGGAATTACCATCGCGTATTCCCTTCATTAGACGTAATACGTTCTTGAGATTGTAATGGTTTTTCATAACTTCGCGTTCCCAATGCGGAGCACATACCATAAAAGTACGCTCGTCGGAACTTCGCGATTTTTGTTGCGGGATGGCGAACCAGGGATATTGGACACGCACCTGGTAGGGAACCGGTGGGTCAGCCAACGGCCACTTTGACCAAATGAACTCGAATGCCGGTACCAGATCAAAGGATATGCTGCGATTTCCGCACACTGCCTCTATGGAGTGGGCGCAACCGTATCCCTCGTTCGTGTACCTCACAGTGTAAGAATTGCCAGTGTTATTACATTTGAGACTCAGAGTTGAAGTGAAAACTTTCTTAAATATGCCTCGCAACCAGCCCTGAAGATCCTTGCGACGAATATAGCCATCGGAGGATACGAAAGCCGTATTTCTTCCCCCAGGTGCATATAGGAGAACGAAACCATTTTCGTCACGTTCAGGGGTGATTTGGAATGGGAACTTCAGCTTCATGTGCAAATCAAATTCATCAGGAGTTACCAGTTTAACGCGGTCCAAATAGCTTCCTGATAAAAAAAAAAATTACATTTCCACATATTTTTTGTACTGTTTTCAACAATTCTTACCACCCAGACTCAGGCCGTCATACGCACTGCGAAACGTTGCGTCTTTGTCTTTCAGCTCCTCAACCAAATAGTTTTGAATAGATATAGCATCCTGAGTATATTCGCAGCGATCATTGTCAGAAATGTTCAATTTATTCAAAATTTCTTCTATTTTGCCCTGAGTACTCATGATAAAGCGATTACCTCTTACTGTGGGACTCCCCTTTTTGATGAAGCCTCGGTTGCTAGTTAACAGCTGTCATTAACAGACACTCTGGTTCTAACAGACTGCAAAATACACATCTCAGGGCAAATACTTTAGCGGGATACAAAAAAAGCTAACATGAATAACATACTCTCTGATTCTAACAGAGTGCAAGATACAAATCTCAGTACTTATATTAAAGACCTAGACCAACCAGCATTTACCATACCTTTCATAGTTGGTCCGTAATAGCCAATTCACAATAGGCTTTTGATCCCATCATTTTAAATTAATAAGGACAAAATGTTGAATTGCGCCTCTTCAATTCTCATAGAATTGAAATTTTCGCAATCGTACTGTTTATGTGTTCAAAGGACTAGTTACGAAACAGATCGGACGTCTTTATCTCATAGCTTCCATCGGAACAAATGGGAGAAAATTTGTTGTTTAATTTGAGTTTAAATCGGATTTTGCCCTAAATTCTTTTTTTTTTATAGTGTTTAGAACATATCCCTAAATATTTAATTAAAATCGGTTACTCATACCCTTAAGCTATCATATGTCTGCTAGCCTTCTATGTCAATTATTCGCGCAAAGTAATATATAGATTTTGAAATTTTAACTCGAGTTTTTGTTTATGTACACTGATCACGTTACAAAACCTTGCCAATCGGTTTTGTTTTAATAATTTAATATTATTCCCGTCATTATTCCAGTTTAGTTTCAGTTAAATTTCAGACATTCTAGCTGTAAGATTCACAATTATCCAGAACTCGTTAATTAGAAAAATTAAGAAGTTATCCATATTATGTTTAACGGTTTCTTAACAGCAACGCTATTTGCGCTTAACAGCACTGCGAGCTATGTTAAAAGCAGAGGCGTTAGGACATTTTTTGAACAGAAGCTGGAAGAAGAAGCAGATTAACTTATAAAATAGCGCCTGCGCTTCAGAAATAAATTTGAATTTGTCGCACCGGAAAACGAACATCCGGAGTCGCCTTAGACGGAGATGAATACGCCGGGTATCAGCCTGTTCCAGGGGGCGGACCCCCTCAATGTGAACTCCACATTGGACCGCCAGGAGGAGGAAGAGGCGCTGCAGGATGAAAAAAGACGCCAAGAGGAGGTAAGTGAATCTGGGAAGTCCTGGTAAATAATGTCACCGTTTCGACTCTTACCCCAGATTGGACATCTGCTGGTAAATGCCTTCGACGACCTCAATGATGATGAGAGCACAATCGACTCGACCTCGAATTATCAGTCGGAACAGTCTCCAGTTCCGCCCACCTATCCAAACCATCCGCTCCAGAAACCGCTGCAGGAGGATCCCCAGCAAGCGAATGAATTGCACCGTATCAAGATGATGTTAGAATCTAAGAACAACGAACTGCTTAATGCAAACCAGGCCGCCAACGCTGCGCACAAGAAACTCGATGAGATCGAAAAACGCCTCTCCATCACGCAGGCCGAGCTGGAGCGGGCTCTGCGCGAGAAGCAGCACACGCACGAGCTGCTAGTGGAGACCAAGGAGATTTGCTCCAACAAGGACAGCGAACTAGAGAAGCTGCGCATTGAGAAGAAGAAACTGGAGGAAGAGAATACGCGGCAGCTGGGCCAGCTTGAGATAACAAGGGCGATGTTGTCCGACGTCCAGTGCAAGTACAAAATGGTGCAGCAGGATACACACAAGCGGGAGGAGCGCGGCGTTGAGCTGCGTATCAAACACATCGAAGACACCCATCGAGCGCAGTGCGATCTTTTCAACCAGCAACTCAGCCAGTTAAGGGATCAGCTGGAACGGAAGAAAAACGAGTTAGAGCAGATGACCTCGCGCTACAATGCCCTGCAATCAGGCCACGAATCTATGCTTCTCGACAAGGCCGCCAAGATAAACGAGCTGAGCCAAGCTCTGGACGTAGCTCAGGAGCGTTGCAACCAGATAAACAGCAGGCCCAATTTGGAAGCAGAGAATCAACGCCAGCAACAGTGCATCGGTGACTTGAAAGCCCGCATTGCCTCCCTGGAGCAAGTGATCGCTTCGCTTAATGATCGCGTTCACGAAACAACAGCGGAGCTGGACCTCATGGACTCGCTCCTCCAACAGCATCATGCGGATGAATCGCCCAAGGGAAAGTTAAGTCAAGTAGGCGGATCGCGCCTTGTGGGCAGCACACCCCTAAATCCTCTAGACAGGGTAAGCCACATCAAGCAGGAGCTGTTTCGGGCGCTGGCCAATCTTAAGAGCAAGCGAGAGGAGGTAAGACGCCTGGAAAAGCATCTGGATGAGCGCAACCAGGAACTACGTGTACTGCGTGACCAGGAGAATCAATCCCTAGTAGAACTGGCAACCATAAAAGAAGACAAAATGCGTCTGGAAAACAAGGTGAAAGCAATGCAGCAGGAGCTTGAAGAGCAGCAGCACAAATCACAGCAGGAGTCCGATCTACGGGCCCAGTTGAGTGCCATGGAAACCGAGAGGGATTCACTGAAGGAAAACCAGCAGCGGGTTGAAGAGGAGCTAAGGACTGCGGAAACGGATTTGGAGCAGTTAAGGCAGCAGCACGAGAACCTCCAGCGAAACTACGAACAACTCGCACAGGATAATCGGCAGTTGCGGAGCCGAGCAACCGCAGACAATCTGCGCTTGGACCTGGAACGTCACAAGATACTGTTGAAGGATTCCCAGAGCGAAGTGGAGCGACTGAAGAAATTGTACTCTGACATCGCCACCGACAAGGAGTCGTTGGACTACGAACTAAGAAAGCTAAGGGAATCAGACACGCTTAAAGAGTTGCAGGAACAACGCCAACAGTTGGCCACTGCCCAGCGAAATTTACAGCTGGCGGAGCTCAAGTTCCAAGAGCTTAGTAAACTCCTGGAATCGGAAAAACTCGACCACGAGCGTGATCTACAAACTCTGCGCCAAAAGAGCGAGCGCGAGAAGCGAGAGGAGGCCACTGCTGCGGCCAAGGAGAGCTCCGATAATTGCAGCAAGTGCATTGAGAGCCTGGCAGAGATTACTAAGGTAAGAAACGAAATCCGCTTTTAATCAAATCTGAACATAAGTTAAATCATCACCATTCTTCCATTTTCAGTCGGAAATCCGTATGTTGAAGCTCCAAAACGTGAACTCATTGCAAGCCAAAGAGCTTAAGGAATTGGAAACAGAACTGGAGCAGTCTAAGGTGCTGCAGGCCGAGATGCAGGAAAAGATCGAGCTTTCGATCAAGCAGGACGAACTGATCAACGACCTCAAGGAGAAGGCCAAGCATTTTGAGGCGTACATTATACAACAGGAAGAGTATCAAAGGCAGCAGCAACAGAAGAAGACTACGCCCAGTCCCAAATCAAACTTAGATACCTCGCCCGGCTCCGGCTCTCCGAAAGAGCTTACCCAGGAGCGGATTAAGGTGATTGAACAGCGTGTTCGCGATGAGATGGCGAAACTTTTTGCGGCCGAACTCAAGAAGTTCAACACCCGTCTGCAGCAGACCGAAGAGCGGAGCCAGTGCCTCCAAAGGGAGTACCAAGCGGTGTGCGCAGAGCTGCAGCATCGCCAAACGGAGGTGGATTTGCTAAAGCAAACCATTCTGGCAGAACGCGAAAACATAGAGGAGATCCTGGCCGGCAAGGAGGAAAAAGAGAAGGCAATGCTGCAGAAATGCCGCCAGGAGCTGCAAGCCAAGAACCAGCGAATCACCGAATTACTGCGCGAACTGGAGGAGCAGCACGCCAGCATTGATTCGGAAAGGCAGTCCATGAAGGCTGTTATGGCTCAGTGGGAAAAGCAACGGCAGTCAATCGATCAGGTGGAGCAGCATTGGCGCCAGCAGTTGGACTCGCTGCGCACCACCCATGAGGAGGCAATGCGCTCCGCCCAGCAGCGCTATCAAAGTGCTAAGCGAACCGCCCACAATTACAAACTGTATGCCGAGGACAAGGAAGCGCACATGAAACGCGAATACGAGCGCATTAAACATGAGTACGATCTGTCCCTAGCGAAGATCGAAGCTACCATGAACCAGCACCTGGAGCGGCACAGTCGCGAGAGGCACCGCGACAAGGAAAACGTGCCGAGCAATAGCAGCAGCAAACCGACCAGCAGCTCCAACACTAATACCAAGAGCAATGGCAATAGCAAAAGCTAGAAAATACAGGATTATATTCGTTAGGTAATTATCGTTATCGCATGCACTGCCTAGTTGTCCAAAAATACATGTCGCTATACATTCCTGAGTTTCTGGTTGATTTTTATATTTGTACATTTATTATAAATGATCTTTCTAGTGCTAAAGTAACTTAAATAACAAAATGCTTTTGCATAATGTGCCAAATTCCAAAAACTTCGACTTTCCACTGCTTAATTAAGGAAAATTTTCTTTATATGAAAATTCTACCGCTGTTTCAGGGTCAATGAGTTATTTGTATTGTACTTGGAATACAGCATGTGCGATCGTCTCTAGATTAGTACAATTCTAAAACATGTTTTCGTGGATTTTATACAATATGTTAATTAATGCAATTCTTTGTCGGTTAAAATGGTTTTATTCTCTTTTTTTTGACCTAGCTGGTGCCAGCACTTTCCAAAGATATTAAAGAATTTGTCGATTTCTTTTCGAGTTATTCCTAGGGCAGACGCCACAGTTAGATAGGGCACCTTAAGATCGCTCCGATGGGAGCCGAAATCTAAACAAAATAAGGATTAATAAAACAATCAATTTCTATTGCCATTCACTTACCCAAAAACTCATGTCCATCAATGGTTTTGATTTGCCCGGGAACCACTACTCTTGCTCCAGAAACTCCACGCTGGTGCAGCATGGATCCCAGTTGGGTGATGCTTTCCATCCGATCCGCAGCAATTGTTCCCAATGTTATTGCCAAGGATATGGAGTTAGACCTGCTGTCGATGACCACTTCACCATGGCTCTGTGCGAATTTCTTAAGGTTCTCCCTGAGGTAATTAAAATTATCGTTTCGCTGCTTGATGAGCGATTGATAGCCGTTGAGCCCCAGAGAGAGCAGCGTCATAAAGACGTCCAGGGACTGGGAACCACTGGCTCTCCCCGCGTAAGTGCTGGCAACCTCACGGAGCAGGCTCTCATCGAAGCTGGCCACAATGGCTGCACCCACGGGCACCAATAGATTCTTGTCGCTGCTTTGAACGAAGTAATCAATGCGCCCGACTCGATGGGCCTGCTCCAACTGACGAACGATGTCTACTGACTGCAATCCGTAAGCATTGTTGACCAGGTGGGGAAGATCCCACTCTTGTGACAGCTTGGACACTTCGTAGATGTCATCGCTGTTGCGGGGGGCAAAGCAACTGGTGGTTGTGTACAGGCAAAGGATGTTTTCCACACCAAGCTCCTTGATTGTGTCCCGGAATGAACTAATGTCCGTATGCAGGGACTCTCCTTGAACCTGGCAGGGGATGACTACCGGCTCCAAGCCCGCCGCTGTGATAGCCTTGAAGCAGGACTTTTGATCGATTCGCGACCATAGTACGTACTTCGCCCCGGGTCGTCGCTTTCGTAGGCTTTGCAAGCACAGGGTTATGGTCATGCCGGTGCACATCGGCACCAGGAAGCAGCCGGCACAGCTGGGCACTCCAATTGCCCGCATTAGATCCAGGATCAGGGCATTTGTGAGGCGGGCCAGCAAAGTGGAACCAGCTGCCTTTGGCTGCGCCTCCAGTAAATCTCCAGAGCGACCAATTCCGTGTCCAAAATTATAGTGTCGCCGGGCCACGAGTCCTAGTGAGAGAAGTTTAAATACAACACGATGGCTTTAGACTTCAACTTTTAGAAAACCGTGGAGGCTGTAATAATAGTTTTATATATTAGATCGGAATACATAGAATTAGTAAATAGTAGTTCTCTTTAAATTAAAAAAAGTTGAAAAATGTGAGTCTAGGATGTCCTTAGCAAGACCCCTAAAATTAACACAATGATCTGAATATAATTTGGAAGCCGGAGTCAACTCACTGCAAGCTATTCGTGCCTCTCGTTCACCCAGTCCGACCTTGTGCGGAAAGTTGTTGCTATCCAAGGATGATAGCTGATAAACAATCTCCTCAATTTGCTCATCGGCCCAACCATTTTCCGGTAGTTTTCTCTAGAGAAAAGTAAATATCATTATCCCTTAATTGTTTTACACGAACTTTGGTTTGTTTACCTTTTCAACGAGCTCCTTAAAACTGCGCTGCTTACTCCGTTGGGCTGCCAGTCCAAGCTGTAAATAGTTGGCTGGCACCAGTTTTCCTGGTACATTTACCTGATCAAAGTTCATTTCGTTAAAATGCTATACATTCAATATAAAAAATTAATCAAATCGCCATCTGTGTGCGCCAACATGCCTGAAATGTTTTTAGTTGAGCCAGATAAACGGTATTCAAGAGGCGTTGCCAGATTGCCAGTAAGCTAGCAATTCCCACAGCACCAATCAGGGCTGCCAATTCAGCTTTTTCCCGTCAAATCTGGATTATTTGATTTTTTTTGCCTTTTCCGAATTGGCCAGGGGGTATACTAATAAGCCTGGTATTCAGACCAACGAAATCTGTTCGCCAGCTATGAGAAAGAGCGAGAGGCAAAAAAGCTTTGCCAAATTGAACGTATGCAAGGCCCCGGCGTAAAGAATAAAATATGTAATCTTTTAAGGTTGGAGTTGGCAGAGCAAAGTATTTATCGGATCAAAAAATGGTCGGAAAAACACAAAAAAACTCAATAAAATGTACTAATAGTACAATGCTAACTACAAAATATTCCCCATATGTATTTATTTTGGATCACACTAGAAAGAATAAACTCTTTACGCAAGCGTAACTATTCGTCGAACTGAGTACTAGGCCATATCACTAACCATACAACATGTTGTATGGTTGGTTAGTGGCTATATGAATCAAGTCTTTTAGTTCCAACAATAGCAACCTTACTTGTTACGGCTGTTTGGTATTTTTTTTGCACAAAGATTTCTTATTGAAAAGAGTACCCTTAACCTTTTTACAAAAAATTACGATGAAATGAGTATAAGCGCTCTGGCGGCACTGCTTTGTCCCGCCTTTGATAAACCGCCTGTTGCTAATTTCTTTGTAGGAATTCTTAAAGCGTAAAGCCTAATCGATACAAAAGGTTATGTGGGAAAGCTTTTGATAAGCGTAAACTGCATAGTTTCACGGAAAATTCATTTTCTGCCAGGGAAGTGTGACCAGTTAACAACGAATCCGCAATGTTTGCGTTTTTCGGCCAAGCGTACAAACATTTAAGTATTTCTTGCGGAACCACCGTCGGTCACACTGCACACTGCAAGTCGTCGACAAGAAACAGCCCAACAGCTACATAAAAAGTTACTTCTATTCGCAGCAAAACAGATTTTTTTGTTTTAATCGTAAGTACTTCAGTGCATAAGTAAATTATAGTAGGTTTAAGCTCAGATAGGCTTAGATACCGAATACGAACGCAAAATTAACATTTACGCGAGCTATGACGAATCCTTTGTCTGCGCCTTTGTTAGAAAAGGGGTTATGTACGAACTGCGTGCGTACATATGGCGTGGTTAGTCATCGGGGATTATAAAGTGTACGCAGTAAAGCATTTAGTGGCCCGCGGGCCTTTGTTGGACTGTACCTTGCACATTATTTAATAAGAGCGACAGAAATATGCACACTTTGGACCCCCCAGTTTTTTTTTTACGTTCGCAGTTTTCTCTGTTCCATTTTTCCCCCTCTTCTCATCCGCCATTTGCCTTGTCAATGTGTCGCTTCAAAATGGCGCCGAACCACATGTCTTCGTTATCGGTTCGTCTCGTTCGGCCGTTCGCTCGTGTGTCATTCGCTCTCTGAATTTCATTTAACAAAGTGGTGCGCGCAGACGGGGCGCTGGACTCGAGGCAAATAACACATACCTAGTAACCGATTGTGATAGCTGTTAAAAATAGAATTCCGGACGTAGTCTGAATTTGACCCGAGCAAAATTGTTAACGTTCATATAAAAGGCAAAAACGTAAATTCCGTTACAAAAATATTCTTTGGCTTGCTTTCTCCTCTTTCGTTCGTTGTTGAGTGTGTGCGTGCGTGTCAATTTTACAGTGCAAAAGCTCGTAAGTAAGAAAAAGAAAAGAGATCTGTCCTACAAGTATTAGTAACGCTGCGCGAGGTTAAATTAAATTACACATTCTTAAACACGTTCACACACGGATTCGCTCGTCAGTTGCGAGAAAGCAACAGGCGCACACAGCACACGCACGCACACACTCACTACCCGAATCGCACACCAGCATAGACCTTCGATTACTTACGAGGACACGCGGAAGCGGCAAACACAGGGCCAGACTTATTTCCGTTGGGTGAAAGTGTAAGTTTCAGTTCCGTAAACACCAGCAAATGTGTAAAGGGAAACCTGCGTTATCCATTATTGCGTTTTCGCTGCCTTGACAATTTTCCCAGCCAGCCAACCAACACATATGTACATAGAAGAGAGAACAAGCACAAAGGCCGCGTTGGTGTGTGCTGTGTGCACAATGACCTCGTTTCCCTGCCGTGCTACCTATCAGAGTAACAACGTCAAAATTTCACTTTATTCTGCGCTTCTTTGTCGATTTCTTGGGCGGGCGGTTCTTTTTGCCTCGCCTTTCATTTCATTTCTTTCGACATTATCAAACAGTAAAAGATTGAGTGAGTGCGTCTGTGAGCGTAAAAGAGAGTGAGAGAGGTGAAGTGTGCCCGTTCTCCGTCCGTAGATGTGTGAGTGCACGAAGCACATGTACGCGAACAATTTTAGGTTAAGGTTTCCCAACGCAAGCCGAGTTATTATTAAAGTTTTGGTTTAAACATAGGTTAAGCTTTCCAATACTTGTTGCACAATATGTAACCTCTCGTTAATTATTTACAAAAGCTGAAAACCACAAAAGCAGATCGTGTAGTGTAGGGCCTTAAACATCAATTGCTGGTCGTTCCGTTTGTAGGATCTTGTAATATTGTAACGCCAATTGACCTTGCCGCTTTTGTCGAGCCCTGCTTTTCTTGTCACATTTGTCACTAATAGGGGTAAACTGAAAGCGCTTCCTTCTCTGATCGATTTTTTCCATTGCAGCAATTTATTGTATGAGTCAAAAAACTGAAAGACCAGTGCTATCGGGTCAACGCATCAAGACCAGAAAAAGAGATGAAAGAGAAAAATATGACCCAACGGGATTCCGTGATGCGGTCATTGCTGGTCTCGAAAAAACTGAAGGCGACCTGGAACAAATCTCTAAATATCTAGACAGCGCGGGCAACAAGCTCGACTATCGTCGATACGGTGAAGTACTCTTCGATATATTGATTGCAGGAGGTCTACTAGGTAAGTGTTTTAGCCCATTAAGAATCCCGGAATTGTCATTCTGACTTTCCATTTTGTTTTGTCTTTCGATTGCAGTGCCTGGCGGTTCCATATCTCAGGATGGCGAAAAGCCGCGCACAAACTACTGCATCTTCGATGCTCCCGAGAGCATGGAGGCCATGCGCAACCATGAGCAGGTTTGTAACAATTTCACAACGTTTTAAATTTTAAATAGAAACTTAATTAGCTAATTTAATTAAGATGTCTACCTATTGTGCTTTACAATTTAAACGAAGATACTTTTTGCTTAATCTTCTTTCTATCGGCCATTTTTTGTTTTGTTTTTCAATATAAATTGTATAAAAGGTAATTTACCTGCATGTCATTAGAACTGATTATAAAGCTTAAAAAGATAATCGGTGTCAAGACTATGCAATATGAATCGACTCATTTACTTGTCTTTGGTTTGTTCTAAACACTAACAGTCTGGAGATTTCTTATGCGTCAACATATTTTCTCTGTCTAAATACTCTGTGAATAAAATACTCGGAAGGTCACGCAATTAAATTGAAATGCATAATATTAGAACCGGTTATCCATCTCAACAATGTAATCGGTGTCAAATTATGCAAAATAAAAATCCACATTTTACTTGTCTTTACTTTGTAAAATTACTTATCTAGCAATCTAAAGATTTCTTAAGTGCGATACAACGACATGAAAGTTTAGAAACTAATTCCGTCAAATTAAACAAATATTTAACTGGTTCTTGCTTTCTACATTTTTTAGGTATTTGTTAAGCTCATCAGACGGTACAAGTACCTTGAGAAAATGTTCGAAGAGGAGATGGGGAAAGTTCTATTATTCGTAAAGGGCTTTACTCCAAGTGAACGCATCAAGCTTGCGCGTATGACTGCGCTCTGGTTAGGTAAGTTATCATATTTAAATACAAACTGTTTGGTGTTTATACCCAGCCCATTTAGTTACTCAACTAGTTAAGTCTCGACGAACACTTGTTTGACTTGCAGCTAATGGGCTTAGAAAAAAGTTACTCTTGGTATACTGACTTTTGGGTGACTCTGCCACATCCAAAAGCCACGAGCCCAAGGACAAGGTCACTTTAGGACCTGTTTAATTTCTGTTGGGCGACCAATTGTCTAAACATTTGCATCTCTTTTTATCCACAGTTAACGGCTCTGTACCGCCAAATGTCTTACTGGTACTAAACAACGAGCACCTGATCAAGGATGGCATTGCTCTGGAGTTTCTACTAGAGCTGTTTCAGACGTTCAAGCAAGAGAAAGGCATTGCATATCTGATTCAGGCGCTTAAGAAGGGTGGACTGGAAAGCAAGTAAGTTCATATTTTGTCATGTTTTTAGTGTGGAATGTTCTCAGGAAGATGATTCAATCAGCCAGTTGTGCATCTTTAATTGATATTCCTAGAGTAAAAAAATTCGACGGAGTTTTACCCATTTCGCAAATGGACTTTCGCTTCATTTGGGTGCCGATTTAATTTCGTACACTATTAAAATAAAATGAATCTAATGCGTTTTTTTATAACTAACCAATTTTGTTTCTCCTTCTTCACTTCAGACTTATGGACTTTTTCCCACCGAACAAACGTACTGAGGAATATTTTAAACAAGTTTTTCTTGATAAAGAACTCAACGAGATCATCAAGTTGCATAAGGCTCAGGCTAGCCAAGAGGCAAAGCGCGAGTTGCAGCAGGCGCTCATCGATGATATCAACGATGAGAAGCCACACAATGAGATAACCTCAGACATTAAGGAATTCTCTCAACGCACCAACATTCCCGATCATGAAATAATTGTCATTGTAAGTCAAGTTATTTGGTGTAAAACCCCAGACCGTTTTCTCCTAACACTGTTGTTTTTTTTTTCTTAGATTTGGTCCACCATCATGTCATTGGGCGAATGGAACAAGAAGGAGGAGCTGGTTACCGATCAGGCTGTTCGTCACCTAAAGACCTACTGCACATTGTTGCAGGCTTTTGCCTCGACCGACCGTTCGGAGTTGGCCTTAATCCTGAAGGTGCAGGAGTTCTGCTACGAGAACATGAACTTTATGAAGGCCTTCCAAAAGATCATTTTGTTGTTCTACAAGACCGAGGTCCTGTCCGAGGAGATCATCTTGCGCTGGTACAAGGACGGTCACTCCAACAAGGGCAAAATGCATTTCCTCGAACAAATGCGCAAGTTTGTCGAATGGCTCCAGTCAGCCGAAGAAGGTTAGTATTTATTGAATTACGACTGTTGCAATTATTTGAGAATGGTCTTGTCCCGAATGGCTTGATTCTGGTACACAATTGCAAGAGAAATTGGGTTTTTTGCTTGCCTCGTTGCTTTTTTTATAACACTGAGCAACGCAGGCCAATGAAAACTTGGACAATATAGTATTTATCGGGGTGTTTCAACAAGTGCAGTTTTTGAGAATGGTTTTGTCCCCGATGACATTTTCATTGTACAAAATTGCAAGAGCATGTGAGTTTTTTGCTTGCCTTGTTGCTTAAAAAATTCCTGAGCATCACAAGCCAATGAAAACTTGGACAATAATCTATCTGACTTTATCGTGCATACTTCTTACCAAGCTTTTAAAGTGTTTCCATTAATTTGGGGCCGATTTTAAAGGGTTCATGTACAGTATGCGAGAGCAAAAGAATGATTGGGTGTCCATATAACCCACTTCCGTGGTTAATTTTGGCCAATAATCGTTTGGACAGCTTCATTGGTATAAACGATCCTTCCGCATAATCTCATCAAACAAGCTCCGAACTTCTCGTCCGTTCGACAGAGCTAAAAGGGGATTGTGCCAGAGCATTTGAATGGTTGGGTGTCCAAATAACTTCACATAGTTACATTTGGCCAATAATCATTTGGACAGCTTTACTTAAGCCAAATCAATTTATTTTTTGACATTTTGGATAGCATTCTCACGTTTTTCTTTCCTATTGCCTTTCAGAATCGGAATCTGAGGATGAACAAAAGAATGGCGAGTAACACGTCGACTTATGGCTAAAAGAAAAGGAACAACACAATCGGAGCCGCCCTTTACCCTCAACATCCGATAGCACCGGAACCAGCATGTGCAACAGCCAGTCGAACTATATATGCAATCCACCCCCATGAATAACGTCATTCTGAGAAACTCCACCTATATAACACCCAAAAAAAATTCAAACAATAAAGGAGAGAGTAAAACAAACCGTCATCCTAGAAATTCACTGTCCGATAGCTTAGATTTCAAACTGCTTTCTATGTATCAATCCAAAATTCACATTCAGTTCCCGTTTAAAGTCAATATACCCAAGATGAACAGATAATAACAAAATAATTAAAATGTGTTAATAAAAGTTTAAAGTTTAACAAGTACCAAAAAAAACATCTGAAACGAAGTCAACGCTCGAAACGAATAAATTAACTTCATACAGGAAATCAATTGGTAGCTATTTAACTTTTCGAGTCCGACTACAACTATATTCGAAGTCAACTGCGGAAACAGAATGGAAAAAATAGAAAAACAATGATGATATCTATGTTGAAAAGGGCTGAGTCCCGTTTGTATGTTCGCATTATTTATTTACAAAATTATCTCCACATATGCATATAACAACAAGAACTAGTATTCTTCCTCAAATGATGATCCGCCACGTCAACAGAAAAGGACTTCAACGAGTTGTCTTCAAAAGAGAGATCAATATTGACTTGCATGCTAGCAAGTTTCGTCGCAACATATTTGAACAAAATTGATGAAATTACGAAATATAAATTGCATGGAAGTACATATATGTATACAACCATTAAATGAAATACAACACTAAAAAGTATTTAATTGTAACACCCATGGACGTTTTGATTGGTTTATTTTTGGTTAGGACAGTTTAGGTAATTGGGTGTATCTAACTCAAAATTATAACTTTGCAGCGGGTATTTAAGTCATTACCCTGGATTATATTTTGTCTAGTCATTCTCTAGGAACGTCGAATTCGTTTAACTTTACATATATGTATGTATATCATTTAGCAAAGTAACAAAAGCACCTAAATCTATGCTTCACTGTTGCTTTTAAATACAAACATTGCTTTGGAAAGTTTATCAGCTGCTGTTGTTAAAGCATTTCATTTGATTTTGGCAGTTGCTTTCGAAGCTTTCAGAGAAGTCAAAAAGGGCTGTTATGTTTACATTTGCTTTCGTCTTCCATAACTTTTACAGCACACTGAAAGAAAAGAAGGAGAGGATTTTCAATTAGACATTAGACTGCTGGTGTAACCTTTTTTCGATTTTACGGTTTCGGTTAAGAAAATATTTTCCGATTTAAAAAAAAGAAAAGAAGGAACACTAAAGTCTAAAAAAAGGTATGTTACATTTTATATAAATAAAATATATAAAATATTGATTTTATAGGTTTCGAGATCTCATATTCATACGGACGCGCAGACATTCATGGCTAGTTCGACTCGGCTATTAAGAACATTTATACTTAATCGAAAAAGCTTCCTCCTACTAGATACATACTTTTCAGCGAACACAAATTAAAAGTTAAAAGAATCTATTTTTTACTACGGATTAATCGGTATGGCCGGTATAAATGATATATTGTAGCTATGGGATAAAGTCCGATTTTGAATAAATATCGAGCGATCGGTTTTAAATAAATCCCAGCGATTTATGCTAAAAATTAGATAAAAATCAGTTTTGTCCATATTGTTCCTATTTCAGCTATAGGACCTGCGCCATTTTCACACATATAAAAGATTTCGAAAATTTTTAAACTGAGCCCGCGAACGGTAGACGGTCAAGGCATTCTCAACTCATCTAATGATTCTGATTAAAAATTTATATATAAATATAAATATGACTGTTCGTTTCTACGAAAAATTGTCTCAGTTTTAAAGCTATATGGTTGAAACTTTCCCAAATGCTTCCCGGCCGGTCAACTAAGTAACAACAGAAAAAATATATTAAAAATTTAGAAATTCATTCATTCAATTCATTGTTTTTAAAATTATAATCATATTCTCCGAGATGTAGCGATGGACTATTATTTAAGAACTATATCGTAGATATCATAAATCTGTGTGTGTACCATATACGGCGTACAATCCAAAATCCTGCAATCAATCTCATTGGCATCATTCCGCCAGAAAAAGATGAAACAAATAATCCATAATAAAAAAAACCTTCACACCCCGAATCCACCCAGCCCAGGAAAACACTTAAGAAATCAAAGGAATACATGGTTCAAAAGTCCTTTGCAAACATTTTAAAGTCAAAGATTTTTAAATTTTAAAGTGTCATTCATAGGTCTTGATGCCAAACTCCTTAAAAACAAGGCCGGAAAGAAATGTATTACCGATTACGTTTTTTTTAGCTTCAGCTTTTCGAAAAATTAAATTATTTCCTTCGTAGATCAAGTTTCTTTTAAATTGACTACGCCGCTACTTGTTTCGAAGTAAATGCAATCCTCTTTCCCAGCACTTAAAATGTCTTATAGCAGAGTATAGTTTTTGGAAATACTGTTTTTATTCAACATAAATTTTGTTTAAAAGTAATTTTTCTTGCATTTCGTATTTCATGTAATGTATATAGTACTCGATGTTATATAATAACGCATATGCTATTTTGTATTTGTTTGCTAAATTTGTAGTTATTCATCATAATTGAACAATTTCAATTTACTTGGTAACGGTTAAAAATGAGCCTGAAGAATACACTATGAACATTGGCGAACATGCAAATACAAGGTTTAAATTAGCTGTAGTTCCTGTGTGTTAGACGTGTGTATGAATGTGGTGTTGTTTTAGAGCCTGGTATGATCGTGCAGCGGCTAGAGGAAACGGTGGCAGTTCGGCAGCTCCCTAAATTGATAAAATCTAATTTCCATTTTTTTTTTTTTTTAGTATTTTCTTTAAGGTAATTATATAGTTTTATGGTGTGGAAGCTGAACTTGAGGGTCAACAAATTTAGCTACTTGGGCCGCTTGGCAATACTTCGTCGTCGTTGATGCGGTGTATGATGGTGATTAAGTGTTGCGTGCTTAATAGTGTGTATTCGTTAGCTCAACAACAGACATTGATGATTTTCGGGGATTTTAATAGGCCGGTGACAGCTGCACATGCGGCCGTTGTCCTCGAAGCAGCGAAATCGGTTGTTTGTGTCCATTTCGGTGCTTCGCAGGGCAACAATGCTGAGTGGCTACATGCGCAGGCTGCCAGCGGCACTGGAAAAGGTGATCCTCTGCCGTTGCTCCTTTTAATCGCTGCACGTGATAATTACAAACATAAACGACATAGGCATATAAAACCTCAACAAAGACTACAGACGACAAAAATTAATGTACAAAAAGAAAACAATGCAAAACGAGGACAAAAGTTAAAAACAAAATTCTTGGACAGGAATGTATGCAAAATTTTAAAGTGTATGTATACAATATAAGCACACTCCTGGACCTACTGCTCAGAAAATGTGCATATGTAAAAAAAACGAACAAACTTTAACAAACTCGTATTATGCTTTCATATGCTCCTAGGATCATGTCCTCTAAACTATATAGTAAGTATTGGCATACAAACATATATATCGGAGTATATATATGTGTGTTTAGTGTGGGTATCATATAACTGTTGCATACACAAGGACCGAAATGCTCTTGAGTGTTTCAGTTTCACTATACAAAGACAACGGCAAAAGTATTTTGAAATCGAATATAATCCTAGCTGTTGCCCGACTGCCAAATGATGAGTTTACTTGGGTTTAATATTTAGTGGGTGGAGCTTCTGTTGAACTGAACTTCTTGAACTGTTCCTGCTGGTAAGGTGTTGATGCTGGTTCCATTTCTGATTAGTTATGTATTGTTTTGCACTTAAAGAATTTAGTCGGTGAATTTGCGATTGACGTTGCGTCCGAAGAGGGCGTTACGGATCTCGGGCACCAGTTGCTGCGAAATCAGCTCTAATCTGGACTCCAGCGTGTTGGGCACCTGCAGGAGTTTATGAGTTTAGTCAAGAATGCACTTATAAAATTGGTCAGGAATGTACAAACCTTGATGCGTCCGTTCAGGGCCAGCAGCTCAACACCGCCGCAGGTATCAGCAGAGAGGAAGTCTTTCTCGTCAATGAAGAGATCGACGTTCTGGTTCATCTGGGCCTTGTACTGCTCCACGGCACTGGGCAGTACATCGCGCACCAGGGGCACATCAACCTCGCGGCAACGCAGGATCACCTTGGGTTCCATGACCTGGAACAGGCCCTGAACGATGAGCTTGGTCAGCACGGTCTGGTATTCGGTCTGCTTCTTGGTGACCTCGCCGAGACGCTTGCGGGCATCGTCCAGCACGCTGCTCACGTGGTCCTCCCGCACTTTCAGCACCTGAGAAGGAAACCAAATGAGTGAAGGGATTCCGGAGGCAAAGGCCACGGCCTAGTGAGTACCCACCTTCAGGCGAGCCTGGTTGAGCATGTTGGAGGACTGGATCTTCTTCTGCAGTTCCACCTGCTTCTCCTTCTTCTCGTAGTACTCCATGATCTTGAGACGCTGCTGCTGGACGAGGCGTCCCTTCTCGATGTTGAACTCCTCCTCGGCCTTGGCGTCGATCTCCTCGGCTTTCTCATTGGCCTCCTGCTCAATGAACGCCATCATGTGTTTGATCTGAAACAGTCGTCCTGTTTAGTAGTTGCCTTTTTTTGTCACATGATAACTGCATTGGCTGGAAATCGTCCAATAGCTTCTAGCCTCTATTTATTTTCGTTAAAGTTTTTGATAACGTAAGGGGTTTGCTGGTCGTGTGACAGAGAGTGCGAGTGTGGGAGCGCTGGGCTAGTCGTCTCGCTCCAACACATTGCTCCAATGCGGGGGCCGTGTCACATGACCAGCACGAATTTTTTACTCACTCTTTACGCAAAGTATTTGGACAAATACTTCGGGAGGTCTCTAAAAGCTAATAAATCTGGCCCTAATGCAGGTTAACTGCAAGTTTCTTGGCAATCTTTCCGATGGAAGGCCAATAAGACTGGTGCTGAAAAGTTCACATGACTGAAGGGGGACATTTCGGATCCCATGACTTCGCCATCTTTATTGCTGACACTAACTTAGGAGGAATCCCTTTTTTTAGGCTTTATCCCATAGGTCCAAGAACGACCTTCGTTGCTTTCCCGCTCCCAATTACCTGTTTCTGTACATCAGCATCGCTCAGTGCCATCTTGACTGATTTTCTCACTCGCACAAAACCGAACCGAAAGGAAATTCAAGTGTTTCGAAGTAGTCCACGTACAACCGTGCCTGCAATGGTTTCAAATTTAGTAAAACTAATAAATTCAGAGCAGAGTGGGATTGAAACTGAGGGTCAACACGAGGAAAGTGGAAAACGATAAGTTACTTTTGCCTTCTGCCCAACGTCTGAAAATTTTCACTGCAAATCGATCATATGATTTCACGGG